GCTCTGGTGCCACAATAAACTACAAATCCCAGGATCCCATAGGATGGAACCATGACAGTTTAAATGGTGCCAAACAGGATTCATTCTGCAGTGTGGCAGGAGCCACAGTCCAGTATAATGCATAGTAACCAAACCATATAGTTACATTATCCACACAAACTAATAAGCTGACTAGCAAAGCTAAAATGTACATAGCCACGTGCAAGTATGCATTTCATCTTCATCCATCCTTAAGAGAAACCACATCATGCAATTGATCTCACTGGTCCTGAGTAAAAAATATATTCTGCTTAAGTAAACAATGAATTATCCCTAAGCAAACTGTGGAGTAAGAAAGCAATTTGGCATAAACAACATATTTTTAAAAATATCTTGGAGAAAATAATTTCTCATGCTGATAGCCTTTTAAAGGAAATAATTTAAAATAAAATAAAATAAAAGTGCTCAAGCTGAGATTGTTTTCCATTTGGCAGCATGGCCTCCTATTGTAAATGCATTTGCTTCACCCTGGATTGTGGCTCTCAGACTAGGAATGGGGAACCTTTAGCTCTTTGGCTTTGATGTTTTGGACTTCTGTTCCCAGAATCCACATCAGCATGACCAATGATAAGTCTGTGTGGGAGTTGTAGTCAAAAATATCTGGTGGACCAGAAGTTTTGATCTTAAACATTTTAAATTTCAGATCTTTGTGTGGGTTTCAGCATTTTCTTCGTAGCAGCTTAAGGTGCTGTATATTTGTATTGTTCAGTTGGCCCTCAGTATCCACAGATTATTTATCCACATATTCAACCATCCACAGCATGCACAGAAGCTAACTTTAATTTTACTATTTTATATAAGAGACACAATTTTACTATGCCACAGTATTTAATGGGATCTGAGCATCTACAGATTTTGGTATTCATGGGGAATCCTGGAACCAAGCCCTAGCCAAGGTCCCACTATATTAGCGTTCATTTTTCTTGGACATTCTACTGTCCACTTTTAACACTGTCCACATATTGATGGCAAAAAATGATCTCACTTTGGTCTTCATAATGTAACAGTCCCACCATTGCTTTATGAACATTTACAGAGAGTCTCTAAGGGACTGAAGGTAAAATATGTAGAATCATAGCCTGCCAGAGGGCCCAGGCCACTTGCTTATTGTAGCTGACCTTTCTACCCTCCCCTGAAGAGGTTCTCTGGGTTTCTTCTTTAAAGCATATGACAGGAAATTGATGAGACTGGAAAGTTCACTTATACATTACTCCAAAAAGAGGGCACATGTTTGCATAAAATGTGCATACATACAGTCATTGATTCTCTCTTTATCTCTTTGCCTTTAACTATCTCTGTCTATGAATGATACAGATTTAGAGGTGATTATTTTATTTAAATAATGCAGTGCAGTTCATCACAGTTACTATGTCTCAGACCCTATCTGCCCAACAATTTAAAAGGTGGACTAAATATCATCCTTTTTTGTACAGATCACAACACCCTGTAAATGGTGGATTATAGAGGATTACCTTTCAGGGCTGTTTTAATCTATTCTCTCAGCTTGATCTTTACTGGTGACATAGGGATAACCATACAGCACTACTGCAGGATAGGTGTAAGTTTCTCTCTCACTAACATTTCCCCTTCAAGAGAGTTTATTGAACTACATGGTAAAGTTTTTAGAAACTACTCTCTTAGTCTTCCCTTTAGGGACAGCAGGAAAGGTAAAGGGGAGAGACACCAGGGAGGAGGAGAAATCCATGGGAGAAGGCATAAGAAAGAGCATTGGAACAAAGGAAAGAGAGGAGTGAGGGGGAAGACTCAGCATCTTGGCCAACTCCAAAGGAGGCAGAAGCAGGGAGAACAAAGGGGAAGGCAGAGACAGTGACAGCCAGCAGTGAGAGAATGAGGAGCCCACATGGACTCTCAGATGCTTCTCTTTGAGTGCATTTTCTGTTTGAAGGAGTGTCTTTTCCGAGTCTGGTTCAAAATAAACAACCGCAAGAAGGAAGACTAAGCCAGGAGCCATGAATCTGGTCATCACAAGTTAGCATCTGACAGCAGATTGAAAAAGCACATGGGTCACCTAATCACAGTCCTCTTCACTGTCATGAGATGTGTAGCATTTCTGTTTAAATTGTAACTATTTCTATTTCTGTTTGAGAACCAAAATGGTGGACTGGTTTGAGCATTGGACCATGACCTTGGAGATCAGGGTTCAGTTTCCTTCATGGCTATGGAAACCCACTGGATGACCTTGGGTGAGTCATACATTTTCTACCTCAGAAAACTCCGTTGATAGGTTTGCCTTAGGGTTGCCATAAGTTGGAAATGACTTGAAGGCACACAATAATAATCATTTCTAAGTATCAGTATATGGATATATATAATCCGAAATGAAATGTTATGCAAATGTATACCCTCTTCTGACCTTATTTTAAAATAGTTCACATCTTATTTTGGAGGATTAGGTAAGGAGCCACTCTAGTGGCCATTTACTTTGGGAAGCTATTCAGAGGTTGTAGAGGTTGGCATTTTCTTTCACTCTCTGCAATGACCAAAGCCCTTTCCCTACAGCCTCCCCCCCGCCATTATAGCCCGCCTGAATGGTCATTATGTGGCTGGCAGAGAGCTGGTGGAGACCAGATAAGTGTTTGATTATGCTCTACAGCATTATCAGCCAGTATCCCAGCCATTCAGAAGGACTTGTGCCTGCAAAACTCTTACACTATGTTGGGCAATGTAGGATTTTAGCCTCAGTGTATTAAAATGCAGAATGGTAGTGGTGGTTAAATGTTGTTAATGTTATGGCTTACATAAGGTTCTTCTAGGAGTCAAAAAGACAGGTCTCAGCTGGAAAAGGCTGTGTTGGATGAAAAAATTGAGGTTCCAAATGATAGCCTCTCCTGGAATCAGAGGCAAAAACACACTCTGGACCAGGGGTAGGCAACCTTTTTGAGCCGGGGGCCGGGTTGCTGTCCCTCAGACAATTGGGGGGCCAAAGCACCAAAAATAAATAAACAAATAAATAAATAAAATATATATTTTTTTAAAAATTAAAAATTTAAAAATATATATGCATGCACACTCTCTCAGCCCCAGAAAAGCCATGGCAAAACCCCTGTGGAGATTTTGCCAAGAAAACCCCAAGAACAAATAATAACAACAATAATCAATATCATCATGGAGGGCAGTGGTGGCGGCAGGACCGGCCTGGGGCCAGTTGTGAGAGAATGGCTGAGTATGTGGAAGGTGAATGGGTTCCTG